TTTAATAATCTGATACTGTTATCAGCTCTCGTATTAATATACATTTTTATGTTTGTTGTGGAGATCAGAGGAAGTTCTCAAGGAGAAATATCTCAAGCAACTGGGATAGGTATGAAGACCTTGAGCAAGGTGAGTTAATTAAAAGTTGAGCACCAGATTCTGAATAAGGGTTTCCGCAAAGATTCACTGTGAGGTCACAAACATTGAGACCCAGAGGTGAAGGTGTTCCCAGCGATCTGCTTGGAAAGGCTGCAGAATACACAATCACTTCAGGACCAATTTATTTTGCCTTGGTTACTACTTTGAATTGCATGTTACTTGGCGTGTATTTGAGAATGGATGCTTTCCTAAGTCTATGGGATTTGGGTTCTTGTCAGAGCATTCTGCAGCAGGGTTGGGCTAATAACATTTAGTCAAGTTGATACGATAGCAGGCACAGTACTGACTTTGATCACTCCTTGATATTTTATGTCATTTGTTTAGCTGCAATATCTGTGTTTGACCAAATATAGGGTTTAGCTTTTATAAATGTGCCTTGTCAATTTGGACTGTTGTTCAGCATTGAACAGTGGCATCCTTAACTCAAGAAAGAAAGTCAAAGATTGCAATTATATCTACCTCTGATCCTTATTCTGCATTTTAGCCATCTGCTTTTTTTATAGTGTGAAATACACTCAATCTTGTCTCATAAAATATTTTTGTGAATGTCCTGGGTATTGATTGAGAGCAATCCAGTATATAGTGTCATAAATTGCTGGATCTGATGTAATAGGAGACAGAACTTCTTCACCCTTTAACTCCCAAGGTCTGATTGTTAATTCTCCCCTCTACTGCTACACATTTCCTTGTAAATTAGATATGAGAATTCAGTATTAGATCAAGATAACAGCTTCTACCTGATAAGTTTGAACATTCTCATTGCCTGTGTGCTGGATAATGTATGGATATTTTGGGGAGAAGTTTCATGTTGATCCACTCTGGGAGTTAATGGATTAATCCTCTTCTCAAGAAGAATTTGACCCCCTGAGAGATTAAGCCAATAAATTGGAGCCCTTTCAAGGCAATATACTTTAGACAGGCTGTTGTCATGAGTCAGGTATTGCAAATCACAGAATCTATTATGATGCAGGGATCATTCTATTGTTAATTTACCCTACTGTGTTGCTACTACATTTCCTAACAAAAACCCCATGACCTAGTTGTCATAAAGGGGACGTCAAAGGTCATGGTCTTACAAACAACGTGATCACGGAGACATTTTATGTGATAGCTGCATGGTGACAAGTCATATATTATTTAAAGAGTTCAATTCATGAAACTGAATTTATGGAAATATATATGTTCAAATATCACTTTATTTCAGATACAGGAGAAGATGAAGATGACAATGAAAACACCTTAAGAAGAGGAGAGGACTTTAGTGTTCTTCTTCAAAGATCAGGTGAAACTCTAAGATATGTCAATTTGCAGCCAGAAAAATCTGTGCATGGCAATTGTTGTAAGATTTGTTAACTCAAGCCATTAAATTACTAAGAATGATTGGCATCTTATTTCTCTGTATGGTATTGCAGTGGGATCGAACAGGAAGGAGGATCACTTAATTTCTTAATTGTTGAGTAGTTTCTCCATATCAGTTCTACTGGGAACATATAGAGAACCATATGGAGAATATGCAAGCTGATGTCAGGGTTTAAAAAGATAATCTTTTCATATCATCTTTCAGCTGATCCTGCTTCACAGTTTCGGTTTCAGTCAGAAAAAGATTGGGATCAAGAAACTGATGGTGAGCCAACACAGGTAAGTCAAAAATTGATTTACCATAGGAACTCTGCGATGTTCAATGTAGGATTTAGCAAGTAGTTAACCCTCATATCCCTAAGGGTGACCAGCAATTAATTTCTCCTCACAGTATCACACCTGAATCAAACATTAACCCTTTACACCCTAAGATCAGTATGCATATTCTCCTTACTGTTTTCTATACATTTCCTAAGGAGCTGACAAGGAGATTTTGCTTAACAATCAAGAGCTCCTATACTTGTTGATCATTTCCTTTATTCTCATGACCTTAATGTTTGATTCAGGGGTGATACTGCAAGGAGAAATTGATGCTAGTCACTCTTAGGGGTTAAAGGGTTAATGTTTATGAGAATAAAGGACATGATCACCAACCAAAGAAGCTCTTGATTGATTAACAAATTCTCCTTGTCAACACTGTAGGAATTTTATAGAGAACAGTATGGAGAATATGCATACTGATGTTAGGGTGTAAAGGGTTAGTAGCAAAATTAGGGAGTTCACTACCACATTGGCAATCTTTACAAAAATGAATTCGCAAGAAGTCAATGAAAAGGCTTGCATGAGAACAAAAGCTCCTCAAGTTTTGCAGCTTCTTAGTCAGGATGTTTCTGTGATGACTTCTTTCTGTGGATAAAGAGCAATCTGCAAGGGTTAATTTGCATTTACTTTTTCTTTTGGCATTTCAGGCTACTTCAGCACTTGAGATAGACTTTGAAGCCCTGGCAAGTTCTTTGAACTGTGTTCCTTTACACAAGCGTCTTGACATTTCACAAGATGAAATACATGTGGGTATCACAGTTTCTTCTTTTGAAATTCCCATGAAGCATACTTTTTTCCTTGATATTCATCATATGTACAATTTCCTCTCTTTATATCCTTGGGAAGTAATACTGGTATTTAACAGTTCATTGCCACATCAGCACTTAGACACCATTGGGTTTAGTGTTGTTGCTTTGTTCAATTTAATTTTAGGATTAATAGTTTCTAGCCTTACAATACCTAAAATGTTCAACTTGACAAGACATTATAGCTGGCAGTTCTCACGCATTATGCATGAGTCTCACACCTGTGGACCAAAGATGTTGATCTGAGGACAATTTCTCATGCCTGACCTGAAAATCTGGATGATTTTTTCTCTAACACATAAAAAACAAAAATTCAGTTCATATTTCTTGAAAATGTTCCAACAGGGGGTGCTTAACGTCAACTTTGAGTCCTAACTGTATCAGAACATGCTAAAATGTCAGTTCATGTGTCAGCCATTGGAACATCTTTGGACATGTTTGGTGGCATTCAAAAGGCTTTGAGAAATTGTCAGAATTCAGCAGAACATTTTTTGGAAATTCTGCATTTGACTTAGTAAAATTTGGCAGGTATAAGAGGTGGATTTTGCTGATGGCAAGCGTGGACCATGAGTAACAGACAGCTAGCAGGCATAGCTGATGTATTAGGTAGTGAACTGTGTGTATTAATTGACAGAGATATCTTACCTATAAAGTACTAAAGAAATGTTTTTTGTTCCTCAGCCAGATATCATTGAAGTGTTCAAACTAAAAGCACAAGCATGCTCTAAAGATCAGTGCACTTCACCATCAAGCAAAGATGATGCAATGACCAAGTGTCTAACCTCATCTGCCAGAAATTCACATGAAAACCCTTCTCAATATGCAGAATTACAAGCATTGCCTACTAAGAAAAAAACTGTAAAGGATTTACCAAAAAGACCTATTCAACAGACTGATAGTGAATCTGGTAAATTTTCAACTGGTTCATTGAATGGCTACAGTGAAGGTTCACTCCTTTCAAAGCATTCTGGATTCACAAGTGAGCCTGGTAGCCTTAAAAACACCAAAAAATTACAGAGTTCTTTGAAAGATGTGTTAAAAACTGTTAACACTACAGATAGTCCACAGACTGGTAGAACTGAACAAGTGATTAAATCAAGCAACGATGAAGAAGATGATGACCTTGATTTCCTTCTTTCACTCGACACTCCTGGAGGAAATAGTTGTAATGAAAGGATGTCATTCACTGTAGGGGAAACAAAAAAGGTTAGATAATAGTCAAAGGTCAAAGGACAAACATACTCCAGTAAACAATAGATTCTAAGTTTCCATGCCTCAGTTCAGTTATAGATCGCAGATGATGTCATAGTATGGTAAGAACAAAAGAATGGCAAACGAGGCACAACCAAGTTTGTCACAGATGTTTTTACCACATTTTGACATCTTCTGTGGTCTCTTGTTGTACACGGCAACATGGAATCTATTTGCTCGATATGATAACAAAGAATAAACTTGTAAATGGGGAAATTATCTATGCATCTGTCCACCAATATATCATCAGTAAGACCCAATCAAAACGCATTTATCATTCAGATTGTCAAAGAAAAACATTCAATAATCAAATCTTTCCCTACTGAATGCATTTTGAGATTCTAAGGAGTGACCTACATTATCCTCTGATCATAGCTGCCACTCAGCATTCCAAATAACAGCATCCATAGACAAAGACTAGCCCCATTGAAGTCAATCTTCACCTACTTGTGATTTAACAAAATTTTTAGTTCTTTTTTCCCATCCCTCTTGAGCTGTTGATCTCTAAGTATGTAATCATCATGGGAATAGATCAACTTGACTGCATGGCTTGTATGTTAGCTGTGAATATTTAATATGTTGTGAGATGCATGTCTTAAGTGAAGTGAATATTGATTGAAATGTGTTATAAGTTGTGACTGTAGAACAGGGATATTGATTGACTTTACACCTTGGAAATTCATTTGGACAATTAGCTGAACAACACAACTGGTATTCTCAACTCAAATTGTTATTTGCTCTTATTTTTAATTAGCTGGATACATTGTCTGACAAAGGTTCATTGCCAACAACAAACTCATCTGCTGACCAGTTTACAAAGGAAAGGGAAGATGACGATGATGATGAAGACTGGTTGGATAGTGTTCTTGGCTGAAGTGACTCTCAAGTTATGTGTATTTAGACCATCTTATAAAAAGTTTGCATTGAATACATCCGAATTTCTCTTCTTGTCTTTCAAAAACCAGAAACCAAATACTATAAAAATGAGATGATACTGTGGTATAATAAATCCCTTATTTGATAGTTTCATGTAATTGTAATATGAGCAGATATTAAGCTTATTGCTCCTTTGCCTCTTCCATACGGGACGCAAGAAAATACTGTGCAACTCACAAAGTATCTATGCTTTCAATCCTACCAATATTTTTGCTTGCGTGCAATCAAACAACTGAATTTCCCCCAACTAAAACTGGGGGATATCCAAGGATAAACCCAGGTGATATTCCCCAATTTTCAAACCCTCCAATACAGACAACCTACTTTTAAAATTTATTTCAAGATGAGAAAGTGAATGTGGTTGTTACAGAAGAAGGAACATGTTTTTATTTTTCATGAAATCATATCAGAGAACACTGAATAGTAAACATACCATTCTGTAAACAGTAAGTTGTTCATAACATTTTTCCCGCTCGTCAAACGCAATATCCTCCACTTGGCGCGAAAATATGCTCTTATTTGTCCTTGGACATTATCTGTTCCTCAAAGCTCACACCTTTCTTGGAGCTTTACTCTCTGAACAGATGATGTCCATGGAGAAATATGTGAGCATATTTTTGCACCAAATGGAGAATTGTTTATGTAATTTATATGTAAAATCATGGAATTATGTAAGGTGTATTTATTCCATAATAGCTCATAGTGAGCAGATCATAAATAAATATGTAGGGCCTACTGAACATAGACAAGTTCTGCTGATCTGAGTTACTGAACATTTTTAGTACAAGGGCATTTATGGAAATTTTCCTCAAGAGTAAAATCATATACCAGAGCTATCTGGGCCTTAATTGTAGCATAACAGAGTTTTGTATCGTTATAATCCTTCAGAGGATGTCAACTTTGTTGTTCCATGACAAGAAACCCTTGAATCAAATGTTAATGTCAAAGGAATAACAGAAATGATGACCATTTTAGAAGCTCCTGATTGTCACACAAATTCTCCTTGTGAGTACTACAGGAATTGTAAAGAAAACTGTGGAGAATATGAATGCTAATGTTAGCCTGGTGCAAAGGGTGATGACAATGAAGCTGATTAGAATTATATGTAAATACTCATCCATTTACTCAGCAAAGTGGTGATTGATGTTTCTTTGAAGGGGTCTTATACCTGTAATTATTTCTGTCACTTTTGAAAATATGCTCGATCTTAGTGAGAAGAGAAAATCTTACTGGTACTAATATTGGTACTGATACTGGTACTAATACTGGTACTAATACTGTTACTTATACTAGTACTGCTGCTAATAATAGAGCACTTTCCATTAAGTGAAGTAATACCAAAACCAAAGTAATCACAACTGCCCATCTGAAAAACGGAAAATACCTTGAGGTGATTCCTCAGAAAAAAAAAGTTATCAAACTTTTTTTTGACTATCCTGAAATGTTCCCTACCAATGTCAATTTTGGAAAAAAAATACATTAAAAAGATAGTTCCCTGTGCTTGTTTAAGGAATATGATGGGCCAAACTTACCCCATATGCCTGTACTGGCACTAATCTCATACATCATTTCAATAGTTCATGGTACATATTGCAGTAGCTTGAAGCAAGGGTTCTTAAACGACACAAAAAATACTTGAGAGGTAGAAAGTCTTACGTGTATGGAACCATTTGATAAAATACAATTTGTGGGAAAATCAGGAAATTATAAACAACATCAACTTGAAAGGTTCCTAAAGTGATTGCTTTCAATGTCATAATTAGTGTCATTGAGTAACAGGCTTCATGCATGCCTTTAGTTATATCTTTTTTTCCCTTTGATGAATGTCTTTTAACTTCTCCAATTTAGAGGGGATAATTTGTACACTAAAATTAAGCATTAAACAATATAGGTCACTGTGCTCATTCAAGAGCTTAAGACCATTATACCTGCTTGAAATGCATGCACGCTTATTTTCTTGATTACGTGATTTTTACGTGCAGTAGAGGACGCACAGTGTAATACTGAGGAATCAATTTAAAGAGGCAATGAAAACTCAAAGTAAAACTGACCAAACTACTTCAAGGGCAGGAAAACACTGGTGACCAAGTCCTGATTGGTTTTAGTGTTGCAACTGATTGGTTAAAAAAGAAGTGCAAGTTTTCTACACCAATTACAGAGCAAAGTAAAGCAAAAACAAAGCAACAACAGATTTTTTTCAACACTCAATTGGAAATTGCTCTCAACATGCTCAAATACTGACACCATAAGCTAATGATTTCTAACCCAAATCATTGAAATTGTCCGGTTTTGAACTAAACAAATGTTCATCTTTTAGTAATTTTACATAGACCAAAAATTGTAAAAAGCTTACTTTATTGTATGGTTTTTTAACAGTCTTTTTCTGTTGGCAAAAATGCCCTCTCTCCAACTGAAGTCATGACATATGGTCACACAGCTCCAGTGAACTGATGCAATAAAAGAAGCATTTATAAATTAACGTACCTCAAGACCTATAACAATAATTTCTCTTCATGTGAAAGGAAACCCTCAATGTTCACAGAAGAATCTCCAAAATAAGCTTTAAAATGTTGACAAACACTGTCCAAATAAGTGATTCCTCTGGCTCATCAGTTTCACTATGATATCTTTCACTCTCATCTCCAGATGAATAGTCCATTAAGACTTTCATAGTGTATCTAGTGGTAGGGGCATATACATGGCCAAACACTGAGATTCCAATAGGTCTCTTATAAGTACTTGGAATTGTAACAATGTCTTCACCGCAAGTTGCTGACTTGAGATCGTAATTTTCAAAATCAGGCTTGAGATTCTCTTGTGAAACATATATATCGGCATCACCCTCTATGCTCTCCAGGATTAATGTTACTTCTCCTTCTTTCTTCAATGTAAAATAAGTAAAATTTCCTGCTCCAATTTCTCCATCAAAAGTCTGGATGACATATTCACAAGATGTAAGCCTCAACCAAAAGAAAATGAGTAACAGGAACCATACTGTAGTCTCCATTAGTGCTTTATTATTTGCCTTATTCAGTGTGCATTTCTACCAAATGGCATGGAACTGAAAAAGACAAAAGAATGTTTCCAGTTTGAAAATGTTCCTTGGGGTTTCAATTCAGTATCTTTTCCAGGGAGGGAGGGGGGGGGGGGGGAAAGAGACAGGAAATACTCCTAGTTGGTCAGTATGAATTACCCAGCTGCAGTACTTGGTGATAATTGAGGTGATAAAGGTTTTCAATTCCCCCCCCCCCTTCTTAATATTAGGGAGCTTAAGCACAAGCATTTATGAGATGTGGGTGGCAGGTGGAAGTTAAAATTTATTGTTACCAGTGCTCATGTCACCTTTTAGGTCAGTACAATTTAGTTTAAAATGCTGAAACAGTACAACAACCTCGCAATCAATCTATGAAGGTCAATGCACCAGAATTAGTTACATTCTTTTTCCTGTTGCCATCTGCGTCTCAAAAACATCTCTGCTTAAATTTCCTTATTGTAACAGATGACCAAGTCACAGGCCATAACAAAGGAGTCTAAGATAAACCACCCACCCTTCTCTTACTTAAAATCAATAAAGAACATTGAAGGCAAGCACTTTAGTAGAAGTGTCCATATCAGATTGGAGCAAAATTCCCAGAAGAGAGATCTAAATCACTTTTTTACAATTAGATAAACATTGTGCAAAACTAACCAATGACCTAGTTACACAGCCTAGCCTGCCACAATCTCTAATAGCTCAGTGGTAGTGTCCGAAGTTCTAATTGGAAGGAAGTAGGTTTGACTCTTACTGGGAGTACTCACAGTTTTTTTTATCCAAGTATACCTTATTTACTGAAAGGCATCATCTGTCAACCTTTTTTTGATAAAGGGGGGAGGGGGGTAAGGAATGGGTTAAGAAGATATTGCAGACCCCAACTATCCAACACCACAGTCCCTTATGCACAGGCTATCAATTACAGGAGGAATTCGGCAACAGGTGAAATGATCGTTACTATCTCTTTTTCAAGCAACAAAAAATATAAATAAAATATAGCTTCTCCTTACAGTGCCAGGATGGGTTGGGTTAAAGGCTTGCTGTTTGGATATAACTGTAAGATCTCAAACAAAGGCTACCACTGAGGTTAATTAAAAATGAATACCTATAAAACGGCATCAAGTAGTATTCTGATGAGGAGGTAAAATTTATCTCACGAACCCTACATGAACAATAAGCGTGTGCAGTGCATGTAGCGCGTGTAATTTCATGCTGATTTCTGTCAAAAGTAACGTGTTGATTTATGAATTCTTCTGAAATATAACTCATTGATGACCAGTTTGGACCAAAATTTAGGCAAATTATAAATATAAATGTGGAAGAATATGTATCAAAGTACACCAAAAATTAACAATGAATACCTGAAAACCTAACAAAAAGTGTGCAGAACGCTTTTAGAAGGTTACGCCACGAGATCGAAGTAATTTTAAGCATCAAGCGAATTCGAACAATGGCTCCAAACCCAAGAAGTCACTTACCAGACGTTCAAGAAGAGAAGATCCGAAGTTACAAACAATATCACGGATAATTTTTGTTTCTATGTTTCAAACAATGACAAAGTTATGCCCAACAACAGATCGCAAGTAATAAGTTCGGACATTTTACCATGCACTCATACCCAGACCTCCAACATTTGTCCCTTCACTCAGTAATATTCAGACCCAGTCCTACCGGTTTGTCCGACCCGAGAGTAGTATACTACTCTCGGGTCGGGCAAATAGTAGGCATGTCTTATCTTATGTGTTTGTATTCATTTGTTAAAAAGTACATATCAATTGTTGCAAGATGAAATATTTAAAAAATTGATAAAAACGCTTACAATATGAAAATTGACTAAAATGGCAAATTAACTAAAATGTAACGAGAACGAAAAAGGTTATTAAACCCATTTCATTAATTTATATCCAAAACTCAACCGATCAAAAAGGCTTTTGTAAAGCATTTCGCATAAATTTTCGGAAATTTTCCACACATTTTAACAAAGACTTATAAACGATTGCTTCACTCTGCGTAAAAGGGTATATAAAGGGTGAGTCGTATCGCTACTCTAACTTATCGTTTTTATCTCAGTGTCAACGTTTACATTGAGGTTTTATACCGGCTAGCGATCCTATAGACCAGAGCAGTTTTTTTATATATTGAGAGTAAATCCGACATTGCATCAATTTTCCTTTACTTTTCTCTGTGATTGGTCCAAAAAACTTGTGCCAACCATCTCAACCAATCAAATGCAAACCTAAACCAATCACAATTTGGTCACCCGTGTTTTCCCGCGCTTAAGGCAGTTTTGTTGTTTTTACTTTGTGTTCTCATTGGCTCTTACGGTATTTTCCTTTCTTCTGATTGGCCATTGTGATTACTCTGATTTTGATTGAACGACACTTGATTGTTTTTTTTTTTTATTATAACAGGCTATATTGGGACGTTTCCCGAGTAGGGCTGGGTACTTATTTTAACTATGCAAAGAGGCAGGAGTCTAGAAAGAAGTTAACGTTGTATGGTTTAGCTTTGTATCACAGTTTCAAGGAGTGCATTCCTGTACAAAACTACTTGCTACTTGCATTGGAAGGCAAAAACTATCAACACAAATTGTTAGCATGCCTAAGATAGCTTTACTTCTCCATTTATAATTAATTATTCGTTACCTCCTTTGTCAGCGTTTTTAATATTTTCCTCTTAAATGTACCGGGTCATGTTTGCCGTGGAAAAATGACTCTGTATTAAACAACAATAATTGAAAGCGAGAAAGGGGCTGGGCAGAGTAAGATACATCAGCGAAGGTTGAAAATTATAGAACGTTTAGCTTAGCAGTTTCAACAATACTGTCCGGGTAGCAATATGATAACAAGAAAAACTTTGGTTGATTATAACCTTGCCTCCTAGTTTCACAACTCAACACTACAATTTTAATATCAAGTAAATAATTTTGATCAACACTGTAATCAAATAATTGTTATAATTTAATTTAGGCTATATTAAGTCAATAAAAACATTGTTGTTGTTGTTGTTGTTGTTGTTGTTGTGGGTCTCCCATCCCCTGTGAGTCATGAAAGGGCAATAAGCAGAGGACCATACAAGGTGTGATTTTTTACCCGCAGTGAAATTTAGACTTAGACAGCGGAACAGGCGTCGTTTCAGCGTTCTCCTGGCAAGCATGCATGAAAGGGGAAAGGGCAAGTAAAATGTACGCGCGATACATGCGCGAGACTAGCATATGACAAGCGCAAGGCAAATTAAGAATTTGTTCATGCTTAGCGTACGTATATCGAGTTATGGATGCACGCGGGAAGTTTGGAGGGCACGGAAAATGCGTAAGAGTAGCTCGAGGCGCAACCGAGCGCAACTCTAGCTTTTTGAGTACTCTCCAAACTTCCCAGGTGCATCCATAACTCGATATACGCACAGCTAAAAGCATGAGCAAATTCTTTTATAACAGAGCGACAACTGTGCGAAGAAGCCTTTTATTGCGATAGAGAGCAAAATTCTCACAACGCACAAAAAAAAGTAAACAAACGTCGCTATTGGCTGGTCAAAAACACGCCACACTTCATACTTTAGTTTGAGCATGAACATTAAAGCCAGTCAGTCGATAACAGTAAATGAAAAGCACAAAATCTACGGGGAAAATGGAGAAAATCAAAGCCAAATGAAATCAATTGACACTAAAAAATGTTTTAAAAGTCAAAGACCCGAAGTTATAAAGGGTTTTGATTGATCAAAATAATGTTTACGCTGCCGTGCACGGCACAATTGGAGAAGGCAGACTGCAGGAAACTTGCAGTTTTCTCCTAGGCAACCACCACACTGTTATTTTGACGTACAGTTATGGCTACTGCAGAAGACTCAGGTTGGCTGCGAACATTGCATTGCTCACGTCATCTTATTTACGCACGGTCGTGCGTAAATAAGATTTTGTTCATAGCGGCTCAATAGGGCTTATATAGGGCAAGCACGCGCGCTATGTTATAAAAAATAATGCTCCTCTTGCGCAACTCCTGACGTTTGCCTCCACTCGCCCTTGGAAAAATGTTAAACCTGTTCGGCAGACTGAGTTAGACTGTTAGCTTATCATAAGGAATTGCAGAAATATTGATATCAGAGGAACTGGTGTTTCTACTCCTCACCCCGAAAAAAAATGCGTATAGTGTACGTATGTGTGTACTTGGGGAAGATGTAATTCGATAGGAAATGGCGTTTCGTAGCTTGCGAGCAAGCCCTCATCATCGGCGCTGCAATATGCACGTTTCTCCGCCCCCAGAAGATTTTAAACGAGCCGGGGAGGGGTTTGTTGGGGGTTTGCTAAACCCTTTGCAGATGTCACGTTAACCCAAGGCTTCACACTTTCTCGCTTTCCTGGTTATATTTTAATGTCAAGTAAGTACAGTAGGCAGTTATGGTCGATAACTGTGTTTATTAATGCCATGAACAAGAACTCAAGCAAACTTAAGTAGCCAGGTTTGAAAAATTAGCCTCTCGCGAGTAACGAGAGAAACTTAACCGTTGGCGCCGGCGGGCACTTTAGAGTGATTAAAGGTTAAGAAGCTGACATTTTACCGGGCTGAAATTCTTTTACAATAATAATAACAATAATTATTATTTAAGTAGGTTTGAATTTTGCACTGCAAGTTTTTGCCGCTTATAGTCAGTTTTTACGGGCAAATATATACTCTATATAGCACTCAGGTACAATTGAACGCACTGCAAATGGCTACATTATAAATTCGCAAGCGGATCTCGTTGCAAGGAGAAATCGTCAGTATTTTTTTTAATGAAACACTAGTGAGTTAGTAAGCATTCGTATTTTTTTTCGGATTTCCACGAGCAACGGGACTTCACTTACGATTAAGCCTTGCGTATTAGATAAGCATGAAAGTGTGTTCACATTTCGTATAATTTCACTCTGTTATTAAATGAAATAGTCTTGATTTGATACTCGAGCAATTTAAATGCATTTAGGCCATGCGATGCGAATGTGACCAAGAGTGAGTCACGTAACGTTTACGTGACCAGCTATGATGAAATGACGAAACACTACAGTTATTATGGGATAGTGAACACACAAATATTGAAAGAAAGATGCGAGAATAACGAGGCTTAGCAGACCAGATAAGCAGATGTACAAATCATACGATAAACAAAAAAACAAACACCAAACGTAAGCTTATAAACTTGGCGGTTTTAGAAGTCAGGCCCAAATAGACGGGTCCGAACTGAAAAATTTACAAAAATATTCTAGGGCCATTCGAAACCTTTAACAAATTTACTTTTACTTTTAGAAAAATTCCAGTCGGAGTGGCCTGCAGCCTCGTTCTATATAAAATAATTTGGCAAGTTTCCCTTGTCAACAAACCCACGGAAGGTTACAGTTAAGTAAACAAGGAAAACTGTTCTACAGCCTATCTTTAAAGTTATTTTTAAAAAACTATGTGGCTACAAAATGCATTTTTCAAAACTTACTCTTAACTGTTAACAGCTAACTCGAACCAACATTAAATCGTTGAGAAGTATACGTTTTTACACAATAATGTGTTGGACTCACCTTCGTTCATATCGAACTACATGGCCATTTAAATATTAAATTAATTGTTTACATATTTACAGCGTTAAAAACCATTTAAATACTTCTTTTTTCTTGTTGTATTATTTACAAGTCGGCCTTTCAACAGAACCATCACCAGATATTTACTGATGCCTAAAAACATTTGTCTTTTGATAAATAAATTTTCTAGCCGCCGAATTTTAACTGTTGGAGTTATAAAATTGCTTTCAAAAGCTACACTTTTTTTTTTCGTGGGTACAATAAATTAATAACAGTGTGAATTGTTTCTTTCTTTTCTTTAAATTATTCATGGAAGGATATATAATAATCACTAATAATTACTTATACGATTATTTCTATTTGTGTACTGTTCCTTTGCACCCGAAATCTCCTCCATTCGTCTTTTGCGCCTTCCTCCTTGGGGGAGAGGGGCGGGGACAAAACTTGTGGAGTAGAACACACAGAGGGCGTGGAGTCGAGCAAACTCGCCCGATTGTATTCAAAGTTTCTTAACTCCGTTGAACGCGTCGACGTGGATGTCGACGACGAAGACGCCGTAGACTCGGTGGAAGTCTGATTATAGTAAGTTCTAGCAGTAGTCAATGGCTTCTCCTGCGTTGTATTTCGTTTCTTTTTCAAAGTAGGCCTTGCAGCTAAACGATTTTCTCTTTTCGCTCGTCTACTTTCCCTCCACTTTCCTCTGATGCACAGTATTAGCAAAAGAATGGCCGCCAACACCACGAGTGATGCAATCAAAGGAATGAGGTAGTCCGGTGCGGCTGTTAAGAGAATAACAAAAAGGAGTTAGACCTCGTAAGTTGGCTGTTGTTCAACTAATTTTCTTCAAAACGTGAACTTGAGTTTCAAAATTAAACTAGAATTACGTCGGTTATCCCTTACTATGTTTAGTTATTGGTCTTAAAACTTCGCGCCACCTTCTCAACCAATCAGACGAAAAACTAGAGCCAATACCCACTCGATTACGCCCGTTTTGCCGCGCACGTGATTTTTTACATGTTTTCATAGCCTACTTATAACATCATCCATTGTTCTGATTGGCCGTGTGACTATACTTTGGGTTTCGTTTTACTTCGCTTTAAGTCGGTCATGTCCTATCCTGGAATTTCCTTCACTCTTACATCTCTCACCTTCCTCTTCGTGGTAGGAAAGAGAAACAGATCTTTCCACAGTGACTTCATCCACAGCTATGAGCACGTTGTAAAGAGTGATATTTATTTCACGGCCTTTTTCAGATGGCACGGACCGTATGTATCGGGCGATATCAATGGCCGCCTTTTCAGCTACTTCCGTTCGCGGAGTGCTGGCCTACAAGAGACAGTAACAATATCTAAGCACTGCTGTTTCTGGCTAAAAGAAAGGAAGATAAAACGTTTGCGCCTGACCAGCGGGCCTAAAAAAAAATTATGAGAAAAACATACAAAACAAAAAGAGAACTCATAAAATCTTTCGATAACAACAGTTACACTTACCACTGATACAATGACAGTTGATGTTGATCCATCTTTCCCTCGGCCTTCACAGAGCAGTCGAAGTCTTGCCTTCTCTGCCCATTTTTTCAACATTGGTAGATAACGCAACTGATGGCAAAGTTCTTCCACAAGGGTTCCCTGTTGAAAGAGAATCCAACACATTTAGAATGAGCTTTGATATCGTGATGGAAAATCCATCGCCTATAACTTCAGGGACTTATTTCCGGGTTGTTTGCATGGATCTACTTTGCAGCAAGTCTCCTTCAGAACCGTTGTTTGGTCTCGTCACGCAACGCGCTCTCCCTCCAACGAGACCAAACGACAGCTGCGATAGAGGCTACCGTGTACTACACTGAACTATTTAACCCTCCCGAGGCTTGAACTCAAACAATCAGCCCGCATCATACCCTTCCGTAGCAAATACAACTAAACCTTGCTCAACTGACCTTGGGAAGCTTATCCACTTGGAACACAATGTGAATCTTGGCACAGTCCCCATTCAAATAGGTACTATTGGGAAGGCACGCGCCTTCATTTATTCCGGTAATAATCTTGGCAGTTGATCCACCTTGACATTCTCCCCATCGACCACAAGGAGGGCTGAGGCACTCCGCCGCCGCCTTAGGCACGCATTTCGCGCCAGTGGGGCAGATGCCAGCCTGGGTACGATTCAAGCAATTTGGAACACCACAGTCAATTCCAGTGCAGCGCAGCACGCCATCCAGGCACTCACACGAGTTACAGTCTTTTGGCACGGTGGTGTTGTGACGCTGAATACCGCCGTCTTTCAGCTTACAGTGTTTCTTATCATGTTCGTCATCTGATGGAATGAATTTTGAACAAATTATTTAAGGAACAACGAAATGAAAGTGATGTTCACTTAAGCAATACGTCATGCAAATGAGGCCATCCATGCTTTCAACTATCAAGTTGTTCAAACTCTTACCTTGGCAACGATCTCCAAACTTTCCTGGCGGGCAGATACATTCAAAGCCGTTGATTTTATCTTTACAAGTTGCACCACCGCTGCACGGAGACGAGTTACATTCGTTGATGTTGATTTTACAATCTGGTCCCGTAAATCCGGGCGCGCATTCGCAGCGGACCCAGCCCACACCATCGTCGCACGTGCCTCCATTGTGGCAAGGATTGGATGCACAGTCATCGACATCTAAAAGTAGAACAAAGGCCATTAAAAATTAATTCAACTCGGCACCTCCAATATAAGCATAACATTCCTTGAGCTTACCAGGGGTGCGTGGGAAACAGGTTTATATGTGCGTGTAGAGAGATTTATAAATGCAACTTCTTTTCAAGAGTTACTAGCATCTCAATTCTCCGTACAATATCACCCCTGAATTAACCATTACGGTCATGAGAATAAAGGAAATGTTCGCCAACTAAGTAAGTTCTAAATAGGTGAGCAAATTCTCCACGTCAGCAACATAGAAAATGTTTGTAAAACAGTATAGAGAATATAGATACCGATGTTCAAGCGCTAAGGCTTAACGTTGGGAAGTTGTGCACTTCCAACACAAGAAGAGAGCAAGAGAGAACGCAGAATTTTATTGCACAAATGTGCAATGCTCTACTTACTCTTCTCACACAGGTTTCCTTCCCATGCATCTTTGCAGACACACGAAAAACTCTCTCCATCGCCTGCATTCAAACAAGTTGCACCATTCTGACAAGGTTCGGACGAGCAGGGCTTGGGTGCTAGACAAAAAGGAAAACAATACAACACAAACTATCACGCACGTGTGCTGCCACTTTTAAAAAATACTCTATCTAAAAGGCAATTTTAATTGAACTTTTTTTTCAACTTCAGAAAGCTTTTAACATTTCCGAACCGAAACAGTAAACAATATAAGAAAAACGGCCGACAGGCTGTGCCTAAAATGTTTCCGTACATAATATTATAAGCTAAAGCTATGACGCAAAAAAAATATGGGCACTCTGTGTATTTAGGCCATAATCACTTTCTTATCTAAATAACAGAATGTTTGTCGCCCAATCCATGGCTACCTTAATGGTAAAATTTTTGTCAAGTGTAATTTGCAGATTATCATCTTAGCTGTGATTTTAATTTGAAAGATTGAGCTTAAAACGCTGTGATGAAATTGGACCGGAGATGGCATCAAACACGCTTCCACTTGCGTCAGTAACAGAAAACATCGGGCACAAACAATAGGCACATCAAGAACTTAATGAAAATGTGCAGACATCGTCATTTAGATCTTAACATGATCTCAATGGAAAGGCGTATCATTAGCCATTGTAAATTCAATTACACGCATTTGCGGTTCCATCCGTTTAGAATACTCCAAATGCTGCGCACGTTCTGGGGAACGCGCCCTTTATTTTAATCAAAAGATCACGCTTTGAAAGAACACTCAAGAGTAGATGCAACAGAAGGTTTATAAAAGAGATCACGATGTGTGGAGACCAATTGAAGCGCACATGTTGCCGCGTTTAATTTGTGTGATACGACAATAAAGCCACAAAACGAATGAACAGAACAACAGGTGTTCATTAGCAAAACAATAGGGTTCTTTGAAACAACGAAAAAGGGAGTTGTGAGCTGTGCTGTCCAAACTCATTCATCACAATGTTATCGATCATTTTTCCACGGGTGGTTGAAAAACAAGTCTCAATACACCACCAGTTTTAAAAAAAAATCATGTCAATGAAATAATGAAACAAAGAAAACAAAGAACGTCGATAAAATAAAAAACGATGATAAATCTTGTAGAACGTCTTACCTAATTGACAGATCCTTCCTGAAAATCCGTTTTGACAACCGCATTGAAAATCGTCTCCTGTATCGGTGCATAACCCTCCATTTTGACAAGGATTGCCATCACAGTGCGATGTTGCTGTTGACATTTTTTAAAGAAATTTTAAATTACACTCAAACAAAATTAACATCCAGTGTAAGCAATTACAAACAAAAATTGAAATTCTCAAATTCCGGATCTTATTTATCATGCAAATCGTCACACGTTCTTACTTGATTGACACATTTGTCCTTTCCACGGGTGGGGACATTTGCAAACATATCCGTTGACTAGGTCAGTACAGTTCCCGCCATTTCGACAAGGATTCGAGTTACACTCATTAATATCTGTTAAAGAAAGAGTGAACAAGATACAAGCGTAAGATATTGCAAAAAAAAAATAATTGGTACATAAATAACGCTTCCCAGAAGACGAGGAGTAGGAAATCATAGCGTAAACATTTTACAACGACTTTATGAGGCGACTGAATCATATTCTCTCAAAAAAGGAGCAGTGTAGTACGGCAGTGTTCAAAACAGTAACAAAATATGCTTCGTACGATTTCTGGGGCCTTGATTCAATGAAAAAAGCTGATTCTCTTTCAGATGATTTTCCCTAAAGTCCAATTGATTCTCTTCAAAAAAATAAATGGAGTTGTAAACACAATAAATTAAAGAACAAAACACTTGAATACCTTTTTCACAGTAGACGCCCTCCCAGCCATCGCCACATACACATGTATAATTTCCATCGCCATCGAGACAACTTGCTCCATTCTTACAAGTGTGGTTCTTGCAATGGTCAATTTCTAACGAGGGAAATCATCTTTACATCAGAATCAATTTTCACATCAGAACAAAGAAATAGATGTGATCGCCTACATACGACCTTAACATACATCTCCTTACACACGCACTTACTTAAGTGACAGTGGTGTCCAGTATGCTCTTTGTCACATTTGCATCTAAATTTTTCCACACCGACATTTTCACAGGTTCCATGAGCTCCACATACGCCGGAATCTCTCAAGAATGAGGATCCATTCACTAAAACAGGCTCCAAGCATGGATCGATCACTAATAAAAATTAAAACAGAAATAACATGAGTAAGGTATAGAATTTATATGTCGAAATTTTGTAGTAAAGAAAATGGGTTTTGACGTTGGGAAACTTCATGGATGCATCGATAGAGACCAACAAGCTGACTTGCTATTCAGACATCAACACAGCATAGAACATGGTGATAATTTTTACGAATTTACCTTGATCGCAAACGTCTCCCCGAGTTCCTGCTGGACATACACAATGAAAACTGTTGTCCTTGTCTACGCAGCTACCTCCATTGCGACATGGACTAGAAAGACACTCGTCGATATTGATTTCACATCGTAATCCCGCAAACCCAGGCAAACAGCTACAAGAAGCTTTTCCTGCAATATTGTTGCATGTACCACCATTGGTACAAGTGACATTAGCACAGTAATCGATTCGCGTTGCGCAGTTAGGCCCAGAGAAACCAACTGCACATGAACAGGCATAACTAACACCAATCTTTTGACATGTCGCGCCATTGTGACACGGATTGGAGTCACAGGCATCAATCTCAGTTTCACATCTCTGTCCGGTAAAGCCAGTGGGGCAACTACAAGTGATCATCCCAACACCTTGGCTGCATGTGCCATTGTTAACACAAGATTCGTTGGTGCATTTGTTGATGGGGACATCACATTCAGCTCCAGTAAACTCTGGCCTGCAATGACAATCGCAACAACAAAACATGTGGGCAAATGTTCAACACAAGTGCATGCACGCTAAAAAACATCTGAGTTTCCACAGAAGGGTTCGCACTCCTGGCAGTTCTGATTTTGCACCCAAACTATCTACAGTCTACAAACTTAGCTAGAGACTACAAAGAGCATGTTGTAAGCTTGTCCATAGAGTTGTCGTTAGGTTGAAATTTTATCACACGTCAAATACCAATTTCGGTACTACCAGAGATAATGCATTTTTATAACATTGTAAACTAGCCTTCTATATATTTGATACTCTTTTAAATCTCTCTTTTAACGTCTCAGTTCTTACTGATGCGAGTGAATTCTGGCAATTAAAAACTGCCAAAAGAAAACAAAATTGATGTAACTGATTTCATATCTCACCTGCATTGACACTGGTATCCGTTGAGTCTGTCCAGACAAGTTCCACCATTGCGACAAGGACTCAATGTACCACAATCATTCACATTGTGATCACAGTTTACTCCAGTGTATCCCGCAGCACATATACATTGATAGCCATCTGTTTTATCAACACATGTTGCCGAGCCATGACAAGGCGAGCTAATGCACGAGTCTAAGTCAACTTGGCAAGTTGATCCTGAAAAACCAGTTGGGCAGACACATTTAAATCCATTGGCTGCATCCACACATGTACCACCGTTATGACACGTCGCTGTCAAGCACTCATTGATGTCAGTTTCACAATATGAGCCAGTGTAGCCTGGAGGACAATGACAGATATCAGAGCCATCAGCGTTTTTAACGCATGTGGCTCCATGCTGACAAGGGTATGGGTCGCAACTATTAGGTGTTGTTGCCAACATTGAACAATTTCTGCCAGTATACCCTGCACTACAAGAACACTTGTAGTCATTAAGTAAGTCCGTGCATGTTCCATGGACGCAAGGTGAAGGCTGGCATTCATTTACTGCAACTTGACAATTTTTTCCTGAAAATCCAGTTTGGCAAATGCAACTGTAGTTCTGAATGCCATCTTTACACACTCCACTATTAGTACATGGGATAGACTGGCAGTCATCGATATTGGTCTCGCAATCCTTGCCAGTAAATCCAACGGGACAGTTACACCTGTAATCATTCAACAAGTCCACGCATGTTCCACCATTTCTACACTGTCCTACACAATCGTTGATACCTGGTAAAAGAAAATACCCAAGCCACATGAAATTCATTCCTGTTGCTAGTTGCATTGCAGATACTATGCTACTATGCCATACATTTGCACAGATGTGCAATGGAAATACAAGAACAATACTCACTCTCATTGCAGTTTCTACCCTTCCATCCTTCCTTGCATTCACAAGCATAGTCATTTACCAAGTTAACGCACTTCAGAGCATTGGAGCATGGTTTGGCTGCACATTCATCAATGTCTGTTAAAATTAGATAAGATTATAAATTTATTGAATTAAGGCAGTTTTACAATCCTATGATCAAATAACAAAACTCTGTGTTCTTTAGTTTGTTGAATAAGTTCAGGAACCAAAATTTTGCAAGCAAGTCTGTATTTCCCTTAGGGAGGGGCAAGAAGAGATGATGGGACATTGAGAAGGGACAAAATAATGAAATAGCGGTCATGGTCATGTCAAAGTCCTTCCTAATCTAATATCAATTATATGCTTGCTTTTCCTTAATGTTTGTTGGACCATTAGGAAGAAAAAATAAAAAAAACAATTCAAAAAGGAGAACAACTAACCTTGACCACACATGTGTCCTGTCCAGCCTGGTAAACATTTACACTGGTAACCCTGGCCATTGTTAATGCATGTTCCATTATTCTGACAAGGTCGACTTTGACAGTCCCTACCTAAAAAACACATTCAACAATTTAAGAATTATTCCTGTACAAAAACGTAATTTCATTTTAATAAATACTGAGACACCCAACTTTGCAAAGTTAAGCTTACTTATTTCACAAGTGGGCCCAGCCCAACCTGGCGGACAGTTACAGCGGAAATCACTGGCATCATTATGACAAGTTCCATTATTCTTGCAAGGAGATGATCCACAAAAGTCAATTGCTGTCTCGCAGTTGACCCCAGTAAATCCAGCTTGACATTCACATCTGTACTGATTGGCTTCTGTGTTATAACATATTCCTCCATTCTTGCAAGGTTTTTCTCTGCATTTGTTCAGATCTGTCAAAAAATTAAGCACCATCAGACCGGAAATCTGTGAAGCTACAACAATACAAAGGCAGATAGACGAGATTTAAGAATGAAACACAACCCTATTGAACACTAGCTTCTTTTACCTTCATCACAAAGAATTCCACCCCATTGCGGCTGACAGTTGCACTGCCATGGCTGACTGCAAGTTCCATGAGAACAGCCTGGGTAGGGCCGACATTCATCGCAAAGTTCCCCTTTCCAGCCTGAGTTACAGCTGAAACAAACACAACCCATTTCAAAAAAATTAACATTGAATTGCAATGAACACTTAACACAGTTGACAAGTAACATGACCATGTCACCAAACAAGACTTATTCTTATTAAGAAAAAAAATTAACCCCAAAATGTCACCACTTACTTGCATTCACCTGGAACACTACAAGTACCATGCACTGGATCACAGCCTGTTTTACAGATTGCTAGAGAAGAAAAAAAACACAATATGTTATGTTTACCTGTACTTTATAGCTTTTTAATGGCACAATTGTAAAGAAACTGATCAGTTTTAAGTGCGTTGATACTTACCTGTATCGCACAAATGCCCTCTCCATCCAGGCAAACAAACTTTTTTCCCATTCTCATTGCAAGAATAATGTCCAAATGTGTCATTTCGTGGTTTGCACAACTCAGTACAAGTCTTCCCATAGTAATATTTGTCGCATACCACCCTTAATCTGTAACTAATTGTTGCTGCAGGGCCATTGTATGTATGAATTACCCATGTCTTGTTTGGAAGTAGTGTACCTCGCTGGGTTGCTCTATCTATGAGTTCACGGTTGCCTAATAGGGGAAAAAGAGGCAGTTTGTTGATTAAAGTTAAGCAAAAGCCCCAATAATTTTAGTTCACCCCAAGGCAAGTTTGAGAAAAATTCAACAAAGAGTACATGAAAGTCATTCAATACCTCCCCAAGTATTAGTAAATTTTTAGTATATTCTAACTACATTCAACTGGAGAGCTGAGTTTGCTGTTTCCTTCAATATTCATGAAAACAGATAGATTTGAAGTTGTGCCATATTGGCAATTCATGGAAGATACAGACAAAAACTCCATTTATTCCACAGGAGGATTAAAAGAGAGATTGCACATTAAAATAACATAACTCATTTCATTTTGTTGAGAGACAGAACTTGCCAAGATATGGATTGAAAACAATCTTCTGCATATTTCCATAACAACTTCATGTATGGTAACAATATTGAATGAAGATATCCATTAGGACAATGCATTTATTAAAAAGTATGAAAGGCTTCAGTCATGCAAGAAAAAGTCTTATACGCTTTGCACCATTCAGGTAGAGATGAATCTTACTTGAGTTATCTGCATCCCATGCTTCCAGAATTAGGTAGTATGTGGTCTGAAATGAGAGAAAACAGCATATGACCAGTTTAGCACTTGCATGACACACATAAGTTTTCTGTTAGGTGATGACAATAACTCAAGCACAATAGATGCTGTTTCCCAGCACTAAGCATTCAGAAATTAAAACGTGACTCACATTATGAAGAGAAATTACAGATAATCAAGAAACTCAATGCTCTTGGCATAAAAAAAGATGTGAAAGGAACAATGATCACAAATTCAGAATAAAACTTGAAATTTTTCTTTTTCATATAAGAGATAAATCAGAGGATTTTCAGAAACTCATTTCAAAATATTTGAAATTCCTTCCAACAGCTGCTTTGAAAATATTAGGCAACCTTTCAATCAGTATTTTCCCAGCTTTGTTAGCACAAACACTGTCATACATTCAGAGCATAATGGACATTAAAGACAAAAAAGTGTTATGAAAAAAGGAATTTTTCAATAAAATATATAGAGCAGAGGCCATCATATAAAACATGTGAAAAAACATGTTCACCTTAGGTTGTGGTTCTTACAAATAAACACAAACAAATGAGTTGCACATAGATTTCCTGATAACTTAAAATATGAGAGTTATGAACTTGGCTATAAAGTCAAGTTTAAAACCCTTGATGACAATAACATTTAATACGTGTATGTAAAATTTAGCTAAAGTTGTTTACTCTCAACCTAACATTGCTCCATACAAATTCTATTCTTTTTTTGCTTTATTTAAAAATTCCACTCTTTTGAATCCCCTCCATGAAAAAAAAGATGTCACGATTCTGTGAGTTGTAACAATTTTTATACTACTCTGTTGATTAAAAATTTAGTATTTATCAATGTGTCATTTATTATTCAACTTATTATCACAAACAAAAGATTTGAAGTTAAAAGATTTTTAGAAAGACGACTGAGACTCAAATGCAACACAAGAAATACTATGGCAAATATGAATTCAGAGATTCCTTGATAAGAGAAACAGTTACAAATCAAAATATTTTCTATAACAAGCTTTTCTTGGTGAAAAAGTTCATCATTAAATAGAGTATTTATTTTATTTTTTTTTTGTGACAGAGTGATTCTACAATTCCAAAACTCACTTCATTCAATTTCAAAATGAAGATATTCAAGAGCAAAGTTCCATACCAAAACAAAGAACGTAAAGTTATATGCACACATTTTAGAAATTTGGCTAGGAATTCTGAGGGAATGCTAGCTTCCAGCAAGAGTTTTCATAATAAATGATTAACACCTTTGAAACACTAGCCTAGTGAGAAGTTCCAAGAAAATTTTTGAAACTCTGACTGGATCCATTAATGAACTAGTTTCAAGCTAAACTGTTACACAAGACAAGTTTCCTCCAAAGTAAGCACAGGAAAGATCATAATATGATACCATGGTCTTAATTAAATTTGGAAAAAATGGGGAGAAAATAGCACCTGTAAATTCAAACATTGCTTACATGAGAATTTATGGTCACAAAAGCAACCCATGGATCTTACTAGAAATGTTTACAAAGGGGGGTTAAGTTCGAAAGTTAATTTGCAATCTTCTCTCATTTCTTATGCATCTGAAACGAACACAGGCTTAAGATCATCAGGTTCACACTGCTAGCAGCCATATTCCAATAAAGAGCATGCCTTGTAGAAGTACTGGTAATACAACACTGACATGTACTTCCAAACACAAGTCCTCTTTTGTTACAAATGGACCAAGCTACTTTTGACAGCTGAATAAATTTCTACAGTGCAAATAAGAAATATGATTGATTCTGTTTCTTCCCAAATTGTTTACCTAAGAAGAGAGAAACTATTCTTTCAATAAAACTAACACAAAACTTGCAGAATCAATAAGACTGATCCATTTTTTCATTCTATAAACCTATTTTAAGAGACTGTGAACAATAATGAAAAAACCTGTGTCAAGCAAAGAATTGTTTGGAAAATAGTTATTAGGCACTGCAAAATTTTATCTCAGTCTGGTAAAAGGAGGAAACCATAATGTATTTTGGCTTATTTGCAATTCATGCTTCACATTAAGTCTTGTGTTTCAATCTAACACATCTATATTTCCAACATTGTTGATAGCACAAAGATCAAAAAAAGAAAATTTACACACATCTTTAAGAAACAATAAAATTATATTGGACTTAACATTTTTGGCTTTTAAGGCAGACTAATGATTTGACTTCTTACGTGTTATCAGGAATAAGCTAAGGATGTTTTTGACTGACTCAAAACAATTAATTAGTGGCACATAAATTTTAAGGTATAACTCTTTATTAAGTCCCCTTAAAAAGACACAGCAAATATTTGAAATTATATAAAACTCATTTTGCGAGCTTTGTAATGAAATGATGTAAAGTTACAGGTTCTGGAAAAACCTATCTAAGCTTTTAGTCGTAGCAAATAGTCATATGCTAAACAGTAAAGCAAATAAAAACTGTAATTAATTCAAAATTCAAAGAGCAGACAGCAAAATTCCAAACATCTCACAGCAATTTCTAATGCTTTACATAAAGCTGAAGGGAAATTACAAAACATTCCATGGACAGAATTTTAGATTATTTTGACATGTACCACTGTAAAAGATAACTTTTTTCTCCAATTCTCTGACCTCATGGATACCATATAATCACAAGCATTAAGATGCCACAGGCAGTGGACAAAAACCACAAAGAACACAAGGTCTCATAAGTAAAGGATTAATCTATTTTGAGTGGAATTTGATATGTATTCTTTGATCACAATCGGACACCATGCAGATAATATAAAGAAAACTAATAAAAAAAACACTAGATGACCCAAACAATTTTCACAGTCACAGCAAACTAGCAAATTTTGTAAAATCAAAAGCCCTTAGGAATTCCTTGTAAAAGGTAATCTAAAGCGCTCCCGCGCAACGAGAAATGAAATAAATATATTTTCATCAAGTCCGTCAACTGGGAATTGTATTCTTCTAAAACATAATTCGGCACATGTGTCACTTCTATTCAATGAAGAGAAAAGATGAAAAAGAGGTTTAATGAAATCAACAAACCACCGCGATCTACCCGAGTTAATAAAAGGCTCTTGTGTCGATCATGAAACCCACGAATCGAAATCAAACAATGCTGAAGGAGACAGAATAAAGATCAACTCCATTGGCAACCAGTCATTTCTCTAGAGCATGCTATCAATTGAAAGTTTAATTGCATTGTAATACTTCCAGTAGGTACGAAGTAACGAATCGAGAATTATTTATTTAGGGCCCGGTGAACGTGGGAAAGTCGAAAATAAACAATTTCGCATGCGTTAATATCTTGAAATATACATCTATGAAATTGACAAGTCGGAAGCCCACAACACTTCGTTTCTATTGCAGGTGAAGCTAAACACTCAACGAATAATTCGCGCCTCGGCCATGCGGCTTCGACGCTGATTCTTTGATTTTTCCAGTCAGTAGCTATCATTGTGTTGCAAATACAACGTAACTCCCATAATTAACATAATTCTCACAAAAGGCTGTCAAACTGAAGACACGTGGCCCAGAAACTACGCTACAATCTAGGATAAACAACCTTAAAAATCTCTAATGCGATGCTCTCAGAGAAAATAAGTTTGAAACAGGTTTTGCCCAGCGCGGCCTGTTTAAATAGTTGCAGCTGTATTTATTTCTTCGATTTTTCGCTGAGACGAAGTTGTCGATTCTGTAAAATGAACGTGCTTCTCTGAGAGGCTTCCGAGAGCCAATGAGAGAATTGATTTTTTGAAATGCAAACTTCCAAGTGAAATGATTGTTCGTGGGAGCGTGCTCCCAGCGGTCGCATTTACGATTAATACAGCTCCTATAAAAAAATCTCTTTAAAAAAAATTCCAAATAATTTCCTTACAACACTCTCTCTTTTTTGGCTAAAAGCGGCTGTTAGACGCGGTTACATTAAATTTTTATTATTGAAAAACATATCCCATCTGCGTGAACGTCGCATAAATTTAATCCACATTATTACGCTGAATTTTCTTCAGATTTAAAAAAAATAACGGAAATCGTCAAACAAAGTGACACCAAAACCCATGGTATTCTAAGATAACATTGAACAGGATTTACAATGACTTACCAGCCATGAAAACTCGAAGCGTAAAGAAATCGGGTTGCGAAAACCACTCGGCGATGTAGTGTTCGTAAATGTGATCGAACTCCCTCCTAATACAGCAGTTGTGTGCTCGCCAAATGTACAAGCACCCGTTGGCGAAACAGATTGCGAGTATTGCTTGAGACAAACTCTGAAGAATGTGTCGCACTCGTCCAGGCATTGATGTTGTCCTCGATATATTGTGCGACTCCCATCACAGCAGCTACCATCGTATTTCTCACCTCTAATATTTTGTATCGAAACCAAGTGGACTTCGAATGTGCCCGCTCCGGTGACAATCTGCGAAAAAGGAACACAAGTAAAAATTCGTTTGTAAGTCAGACTCGCAAAAAATTTTCCAGACGTGAGCATTACACCTGACCAAAACACGAGAATTCACCACTTAGCTAGCACAAGGTCTACCTGCACATGAATGAATTGAAGTAGCAGTTCGAAAAATACACTTTTAAGAAGCAGGCCGACGGCCATCGCTTAAATCACTATGTAGAATTTAGTGTAGCCTTGGGAATTGCGGCCGAAATTTGGTGTTCTTCTGCGTGCGACATGAAAGGCCGCCCTGTCGATGCGATGCGAGCTCAGCTCACTTGCAAATCATAAGATTCAGTGTGATTATGGAAAAACAGAAGACAGATGTGGTGTTGTTGAAGGCGCGGTAATGTTAATGAGCATGCGTAGATTAATTAGTGACGCAACATGATACCCATGGGTACACTTATGTCCTCTAAAATTGGCGTGGATTGGCTAAACAGAAGAGAACTGTAAACATTTTCCACAAGAAATTTATTCCTAGCTTCTTGGAATCTTTTAACACCACTCTTGAAATGACCTTGATAAGGCATATCACGTTTCTTCCAGTTGGTCTTCGCTAACTCCCTTACAGCAGGCTCGGAAATATCTTTAATTTTATCGCGTTAATTCATCTGCACATCAAGCTTAGGGATAATCCATGTTAGCGGAAAATTCACTACGCCAAAGCCGGAGAAGATTTTTACCTCAAACACATTTAATAAACGAAACTATTAAAGCTATTTACGATCACGGCGCAGAGAAGGCAAAAAGGCAAAAGGCCGCACAGGATTTGAATATCTATAAATTCACCTGCAGAAATCAGACAATTCCGTAATATCTGCGCCGAAAATAATCATTGTCTGAGATTTTATTATGCTTTTACATTAAAGCAACAAGCGGCATATTAGAATGCCGCGAAAAGGATTTTAAATGTTTACAGGAAAAGGCTAAACTAAATAGTGTGGTTTGCATTTAACAAATGGTAATAGGAAACACTGAGTACACAATACATACGGCGCGTGCCACCAAAGACTGGAGAAGAATAGGGACGCGTCTCGCTTGTTTTATGGGTGATAGACGCCAAGCAAAGTCCCTTGCGGACAACACACAATGCTGCACCTGGGTTCAACAAGGCAAGCTGATCAGTGCATAATCACAAAGAAAATAAAAGCACAGACTTTGCTCTCAGTTTTTGGGACTTTTAACCCCTGAGACCACCTACAGAGAAGAATTGGTCACAACCTGTCCGATTTACAAGAGCATCAATAGGGATAAAGCACGTTAGATGCAAGATATACAGTCCAAGAGCCACTTTTAGATAACAACCACACCAGAACTCTGTCACTCGGTGACAGGACAGTGCTGCGCAAAAAACGAGCGGATTTCGTAACACGAATTGATGCCTCATCCTGAATAGCGATTAATGAGTACGGCGCGTGTCAGTAAGAGAATACGGATTTAATTGCTTCTAATTATAACCTCTTTAGAGATGCTCTTGGTTCAGCACTAACGCCTGGAAACCAGCACAGAGGAACGTCAGGAAGGTTTTTAAGTCGTATTCTCGTCACGTCGAACAGTTGGTGATTATTTCTTAGCACGGGAAAGCTTCGACATGAGGAGAACTGGCTCGGTTTGGCGCTGTGACAGTGCGGAGTTGTTACGTGAGAAGTTTCTTCCTCAAAAAGGTCTACAAACATTAACGCACGATACAGCGACAATTTGTGGTTCGCTCTGGCCTCAAGTACGTGCAAAGTTAATTACAAATACAAATACCGACTTATGGAGAGGCAACGTGATAAAATTTTTCTGCGGTTTGGCCAATAATTATCACATCTAGCCACAGAAAAGCTGCAGAGTTGATCAATTGTCTGATAAGCGACAGGAGTGACGAAAAACATTGAGATTAACTCTAGTTCAAGACAATTTAATTTGTGATGACCTATGGCATGGCAGCAACGTAAATCATCCTGGAGAAACTAAAGAGGTATCAAACGGAGCTGAAGACACTTTCCTCTTCGATTAAGTGTGTGGTGCGAACTTTTCAGAAATCCAGTTATCGACGTGTACGAGAGCATTGAAATTACCACTGAAAACCCCTTTTTCCGATCCATGAATTTACCTGATCCTATATCAGTTAGGAAAAAAACATTTCATATCCTAAACTAGCGGCCTTCTTCATAAGATTATGCTTTTGGACTTCAGTTTGTCACTTTGATCACGTTCGCCGACCTGGCACCTTCGCCCTTACTCAATGTAAAAAGGCGGAAATGGTTGCCTTGGCTCGTACGTAACACCGTGACAAAAAAGAGAGTTGTGTTGAATTAATTGCTTTGGGAAAAAATATATCGCATTTAGCTTCTAATATCGCCGGAGGCATTCAACTAATGCGTAACGAGAGCACGGAAACTGTTTTCATTATATCCATCAGATATGACCTGAAACAAAACTAACGGAGACAACTTTCCGGTGTCCTTTATATAAAGATCAAGAGCAAGTGCTTTAAAGAACGCGTGCGAAATAGATAGGACTGGCGCGTCTTAACGGCGCAGCGATAACATTAACATCCGAGGCATTTAAGATGCAATTTTATTGGAAATTTCAAAGGAGAAACTCATGAGTTGTCTTACGAAACGATATTTTCCCATGACAACAAAAGCAAATATCTTGGGTCGATTTTGCAATAACGAGCTACGAAACAAAATCACTTCTCAAGTAGCGTGGTATTGAGTGAAGAAATTAACATTTCGAGTTCATTAAAAGTTGTTTGAATTTGCATATTAAAAGACGCCATCAATACTAATACTTTTTCCATTAGTTCTTGTATTAGTCCAAACAAAAGCGCACACATGGCTTTTAAAACAATGGTTGTATGAATAGCCAATATGCCTCAAGACACGCAAAGCTATCTCGCGCCTCGGTGTTCGACAGGTCAGACGCCAGTAAGGTATATAAAGTATTAAAGAAAAGTCAAAACACTTACAAAAAGCGGCTAAAATGTTTGAGATAGAGAAAAATATTTCAGAGGAAAACAAAATTCTCACTTATCAAACGGATCAATTGGTTGCGTAAGGACGCTTAAAATATAATAGGGACGGCACGTGTATGTTACATACTTCTCCGCGACAAAATATTCGCTTCGTCACCAACAAATCTGTTTAGATGCAGTAAGTGAGAAAACGTTATCTTTGATAATCAGAGCAAGAACATTCGATCCTCTTTGGGATTTTCGGGGACAAATATATGTAAAACGACACGAGCTCGTTAACAAAGTCAAACAAAACAGCGGCGGAATTCGACCGCCTTGCGACCACGTGCCACAGCTGTTCTAAAACAAAGGATCTAAGCGTGCCATCGAGTAGGCTGTGCTTGTTATGCAAAGTTAGCTACACGAACACCTGTGGAAGGAGGGTCTTTACAATACTGTTGTACAGCTGACAATTACAGAACCACTGCGTGGTGCGTTAAGCTGTTTGGTAAGCCTTTGGTTTGACTTGTTTCAGTTGAAACCGATTCGAGTGGTTACATCCTGAACGGCGTCTGTTTGTATCGTCATCGCCGCAGCGCAGTTTCTATAGAAATTTAAGAGTACAGGTTACTTGGCTACGACCAACTGCTGGAAAAGGAATTCAGAGCTTTCTTATTGAGATCACTTCTAAAGGAATGTTTTTAATCCCGATTGTGTTACACAGAAATTGTCTCGGAGAAGGTTAAACCATAAAAAAAACTAACTTTTCAAACCTACTGAGGCGTGCAAAAGCACATTGCCACTTTGATCGAATTGCACCTCAAGGCAAATATTGTGAAAACAAATCAAAGCGCAAAAGTCACAAACATGACATCAGAAGCATTAATGCTTTAGTCCTTTAAACGGTTAGTAGACCACTTAGAGCACGTCAAAATGAACAAATGTTTGTCGCAAACAAAGCCATCTGCCGCGACGTCGAAAAACAAAGGAATTCCGATACAACATGTACACCGAGCTGAACGTAACTTATAAACACCGCATAGTCGTAAGGCCAGGTGTGGCTGGTTTTGTTTTGACTTTTTGGACCACAATTCAAAAACGGCTCGTAAATGACGAGGTTAAGCTATATGAACCGTGGGTGTGGCAGTATTAGATGAGTGAATCTGTGACTCAGCTCTGCTCAGAGCGCTAAATGACACTTTAAAGCAAGGGCAATTAACCTTCATCTGAGACAGCGTCTCGATACACCGCTTGTAGAACAAATTACAACCAGCAATTACTTGAGTTTTATCAGCCAAATACAAAAAGATGTTAATGTTTGGCCATGAACGAGTTCTCTACATGGAATCAAACTCTTTTCCTTAAGATTCGCGCTCGGATACTCTACAGCTGAGCTGCAGCAAATTCAGTGGTGAGTTGAGTGTTTTGGTTGAGTCCTGTGTTTGGATGCGGGTCTAGATATAGAAATTTTTTAAAACGCCGCCAGATTAGCATGGGACAAGTACATACGCTTCCAAGGTAAAATGCCGTGTGAAATAGAGCCATGCTCGTCAATTTTTTTTTCCAAAATGCCTATACATGAGTACAAACTCCAGACTATTCCACCTGTTATTAAGTAATAACTTAAGAGAAGTATCTTCATAGCTACACATGTTTCCTAGGGGGTACAGGAAAGGCGTAACTAGGGGTTATCTTAGGGTGTTCCATTTCCTGACTCTTGGCTAAACGTAATAATGACAATCTTATCCTTTTGATCCACGTTTCTTTTCTTCCTGTAAAGTGTTTACACAGTCAGTTCACGAGGCAAGGTACCCGACAGCGCTCTTGTTAGGAAGGTGCGTTTGTTGTAATACTGTATAACAGAAGGCCATTTAATTTTGCGCGCTCCTTCCCTCACATTTGAAATGAATTGAATTTGACTGCGATTTTAAGCATTTCAAGGATCACAACTTGAATTACTTTAGAGATTGGCTGGTTTGTTTAAAAACCTCAACTGGCCGAGCTGACAAGAGTATTCAAAAAGTGCGAAAAAAAAAGAGGAAACTTCAAAACTCTTCGATTTCAATTTGCTTGCCTCTGTTAACAGTGCAAAATCTCTTAACCTCGTTTCAACAAGCTATTCCTAATTTAGAGCCATCATTGATAATACTCGATTATACGAGTTCTCCCGCGTTTTCGTGCGTTGTTTTGGTTCATTTGTCCTAAAAGAAATCCACACGCAGTCATAGCAGTCAGCAGGGTAAACCATGACGGCCAGTCACAACAAGTTACCTATGTATATCAACGATCCATTGAGTAACCAAAAAAAATACATCGAGATTTATGGCGGGAAAATTCATCGAGACTAATGCAAGGGAAAATGCTGCTGACCAAGTCATCCTTGCAACGTGTGTGTAGTTTTACACCTAATAAACCCTGTTGAAAACGTTTCAACGTGAACTGGGTCGAGTGAATGAAATCGAGGCTTGCAGAACACTTCGCTGGAAAATGGTTGTGACAGGAAAGCAAAGATTTCCTCGCGATTTGACTTATTCTGTTTCTTGCTTCTTTCCTTTAATGACTTCCTAACAGAAATGGATTTTGCGCAGAAAAAAAAACCTTTAAGAAAGGCAAAATTGGTCTTTTAATATTACTTTCGCAAAATTTTACTTGAAAACCTTAATTTCGTGTATTCGACCCAACTCCCTCGTTCGCGTCCGAAAACATCTGTTGACTTTCTACTTCTTACAAGAACGCAAACACGAAGAGATCAGTCAACGTTTCACAATATCATAATACAATTCTAATTTAACTTCAATCGGTGTCTACAATATGTTTTCACAGAAAAAGCAACCATTTCGAAAAGGAAAATTAAATGCAGCGCTAGTAGAATTCAATTAAAAGATATTAGTGACTTTCTTGACTGCATTGATTCAAGCGATTATACATGGAAATTTGACAAGTTGGTCCTAGCTGGTAGTATTACAAGAGTATATACATCATGCGCTTACTGATGAACGATGGAATGTAGCTTCTTTTGTTTTGACAAAGAAGATTATAATCGAACAATAAAAGTCTAATTTTAGAATCTAAATTGCTAAGAGGAATGTTTCAGGCATAAAAGGCTCTCCTTTCAACTATGAACAGTTTTTTAGGAGACGGTTAGGTTTATGGTACCGTTCACCGATAATAGTCTCAGGAATTTGTTTAAATTAGTTGTCTCGAAGCAAACTACAGAGAAACTTACTGACGTGTGAAATATTGCAGTAAGCATACATCTTATGCATTCCAATGGATAAAAGTTGTAATGGCTCTTGGGAAATTAAAGGAACATCAAGTGTTAGAAATAACCATGGCTTCCAAGAATGTGTTATCTAATCAGCACAGGCCTCTTTCCATCCAGTGCAAAGACTTCAGAATAACAGGAAACCCCAAGATTAAAGCAAATGACGTTTACAAATCTTAAAGTAAAGATGATTAGATTTACGGGTGGTCGATACCTGACACAATTCACTGAGTTAGGATTCTACTCATTTAGAGAGTGCAGACACTATCCGAGCTCACATAACCGAAACGAGAAAAATTTATGGTTGCACTGCAGTTTTTTGTGACAGTTTCCCTTGCATATTTTGCGAGAAGGTACCAAGAATCGATTAATTAGTTACCTTGTCTGAATCCGATGACTGTTACTCGAAGAGACTTAACTGTGTCTGCCCACGACCTCAAGATTATTACTAAGCTGTTTGACTCTTTCCATGCGAAAACAAACGTGTCCAGTTCTCAGACTACAAAGCTATGCCATGGAGAAATCGCTCAGTTGCTAAGCCTTCTCTGACTGCTAGCAAGCGATCTAATTACCTTCACCGTGCAATGATGTCGAAATTGACTTTATAAATATGTTAATGACGACTTGTTAGTACTTTAATGGCGCTGCCCGACTGTTTGTTTGTAAAGCTCTGTTGATATTGGTGGAACATATCAAGCGTAAAAATTGTGTTCAGTAGTGACGTCTGGAGCGACGACGTACAACTGATGCATACAGTAGGTCAGGTCTGAAAGGAGGACTCATTTTTCACTTCTATCATATTTTTCAATTTTCGAAGATGACGAAAGAAAATCATCCGCCTAAAAAAGTTGGAAAAAGTTGACCAGTTTCGAACATCCGACCTTCGCAAGGGGCAAAGTGGACATGGAGATGGTTGAAATGAAATTCCTCTGACTAAAGTATCCAGGTCGGATTATTCAAAACCCGATTAACTATAATCTCAAGATAACTGAATGCAAATCCTGGTGTTGCCATAGCAATTAAACCAGGATTACAGCTCGTCCAACTTCAATAAACTCGGCTCAGTATACCAGCGGTATGTTTGAATATTAGTTTGCTTGGCTTCAAGGCGTTTTTATCCTGGTAGTCATCCTTTGATTTTCGTTCGAATAATGAAAAGATACAGAGCAGAGAAGGTGCGGGAAAGGGCAGGGGAGGGGAGGGGTGGGATTTACTGTACGGTGGGTCAAGTGGATAACCCCTACTCAAATTATCCAAAGTATCCTTTGCACAGTTCGTTTGCACAAGCAAACCTCTTTGCAATTTGCAGTCTTAACGCTGCGTCCTGTGTGTTCGTGATTGATTTGTAGCAGTTGTTCAAAAAGAAATTCATCAACACTATACACGATCCCGTGAAGGCGATAGGTGAAATGATTTTGCGAGACAAACATTTTCCTGCATTAATTCCATGCTGCGCTGCGAGCATCACCGAAAAATAGGGGGGTCGGCAGCCCTTCCTTCGTCTGAGGGTAGAGGCCCCCTACTCTTAGCCCCCTTCTTCCCCCCCCCCCCCTTCCCCGTTGGGTAACTGTGGCAAAGAAGAATTGTAAAGCGATGTCCATAGTTAAAATAGTCTGGACTTAAACTTAAAAGAGAGCTAAAATAAAGAGTGTGTTTGCTCTTAAACTTTTCTCTCTGAACGACATGATCGACCCTCCAACCAATTATTTGGCTTTCTTTTCCGTCCTAGTTCCTCCTGAAAGTTCTTGGCGTCAGTAAGAACTAATCTTCGGCTCGTAAATCCCACCATAGTCGATAAATGCTGACAGAACTCTTGCCCAATCCTAAATTCCTTGTAAGGCAAAACCTTTCTTGTTTGACCCTGAGTCTTGGAGCGTTTTATCCATTCTCGCGCCTAGAGTCCACCATTATTTTCACATGCGCCGTGGGAAGGGGGCGCTGGTCAAAGAGATCGCAGGCTCTAGAGTACGCGACTGCACTTTACCTTGAACACAAGAATAAACCTACCTCCTCATCTGTCGAGGACTTGTGGGAAACATCTTTGTGTTGAACATCAGGTACACCGTCTACACCTGGAAATGAAAATATATATATATAAATCAACCAGGTCCGAGCCACCTTTTGAAGTGGAAACATTCATTTACACAAATTACTCTTGTTCCATGAGGAGTAGTTCATCGTGCAACCTCTAAGACTACATCATAAAAACGCACTGTTGTAGAGTCTCGGGGGTTATCGACAATTTTCGTTTGCTCTCGTTGGCATTGGTGCTTACTCATCAAAGCTTCCGCGGCGCGCCCTTGTCTTTTCGAATTGGCACTGAGTGCAACAGCAGTAAAAAAACAGTTTTCTCTGTTTAAGGCGCAGTCTCGTAAAGGTTTCATCCTTGTCTCCTCTCACCTCAGTTTTCAAGGTTTACAATGGTTATTCACAAATTACTCTGTTGATAGTAAACAACGTCATCTCTTTTAACTCCCAGTATTAATAAAGTAGTTACGTTCCACCCGCCTTGGACGCCTTATACTGGTTCTAAATCTTCTCACATTGTTCAAGTGCCGATTAATTTTCTTTCTTCTGCTGAACCCAAGATTAAACGGCGTTTAGACTGTAGCACTAAATCTTACGCGATTTCTACAGGTAAATTAGCCGCAATCTAATTGTTGATGCAGTAATTTCTCGTAGAGGCTCAAGATCTTTCTTTTCAGAATTGAAGTCATTTACATTTTGATTCACACCGACATGCTTGAGCAACAAAAAACAAGAAAAAATCACGGCCTAAGCCACTCGAATCTTCAAATATGCCGCCAGACTTCGCATACTTGAAGATTCGAGCAAAGTGGCTCAAGACATGTCTGCGTTTCACACACAAATAAGAAGGATCAAAATTAGTGGAAGCAAAAAAGAACCAAAAACAAAAACGAGAAAAAACAGTGCTACGCTTGGCACCCACTTTGGGGTAATTGAATCATCAACACTAGCTTCGAGATTGGTCGTCACTCGTTAGGTTTAAATTTGCTAGTAAATTGACGCTGTCGATGGAAGGAAAACATCCGAAAACTGAATCATGTAAATGAAACTCTGGTTTATGCACTATCGAAATAAATTCATTGGTTTAGTATCGATTTTGCCTTGGGGGGAAAAAAGGAGGAGCACCATTACATTCCCTTATTAAAAAGCCCAAGAGAAATTTGGATGACAGCCAGTCTGATAACATTAATAGTGTAAGTATCAATAGACGAAACCATTTAAAATAAACAATTCGCTGATTTCATTCGAGTGGAATAAAAGAATAGGTTATTGCCCGGAAAACTTCGCTGGAACTTTTCGCTGGTTCGTTTTCTTTTTAGCTTTGAGTATTGTGAATTGTTAAAAGGTGAAAGACAATAACCGTCTTAAAATAGCGATTCAGTCACCAGTGGATTACTACAACCTGTTACCAGGTACTCCGGCGATAGTAAGAACAGAAAACTGTTAAAAACAAAAACTATAGGGTTTCAACAAAATGAAGACGTTGATTTTAGTGGGTTTATGTTATGTCATGCGAAACTCAATTTCTGAAAAGGCTGCATGAGTCATGCTTATGTAATCTCCCAAATCGGCAAAACAATTGAATTATTGATGTACTATTGTTACATTTCACCAATTTGTTTAACAAAAAGTCGATAATTAAATCTGTCAATTCGAAACACGTTTAGTAGTAGAAAAAATCGAGTTGAGAAATATCGATACAAGTTCATAATCACCAACAGTTATGTTCATTTAAAACGTCACAGTTAAGTTCATTCAAAATGTCAGAGATAGTACTCAGCTGATATCTTCTAAGAGCATTGTTTTCATGACTGTTGCCTGGCGAACCAGCGCTGTGGGGCAAAAAAAAACAACAAAACACTATTTGATCGTTCGTCAGCTTTAAGTCAGAATTCTGACGGAAGGGAGTCGTTCAAAAGTTTAAAATGTGTGTATTACACCGCAACCATCTTACATCCGCACGATTGAAAAACAATCTGAAGCAAGTCTTTGTATTAAACTTAGACCTAAAAACATACACGTGTTGTTAGTCTATAGAACCACCAGAAATTCCTTCAAACACTTTAATAACAACCCAACCACGAGGTTTTTTTTCGTCTCCAGGCAGATTACCAGCAAAGACACAAATGCGTAGAACCGCGGTAAAAACAGGATAAAATGCAAAGAAATGAAAGTTCTGCTTGTATATTTTGCTTTTCTTGACTGTGGGTATTGTGAATTAAGGAAATGCGCGTATCTCCTTTTCAGTCACTGAGAAAAAAACAAAACAGCAAGAGATCTAACCTTGACCAAGGATGAAATTTTGAATGCTTGTTTAAATCTTGAATGTCAGTTTGTGACTATGACGTTATGTAGTTTAAGTTTTTACGAGTACGGCTGCACTGCACACTGCAATGTGTTACCAAGCGGCTTATAATCACCTTTATTGAACTACACTGCCGCGTAGGAAGAATGTTTGTGATATGTTAGTTATCCCTAAATCCTCAGGGGAAAAAATGACCTTCATCTCAGGTTCCCCGTCTTTTTTGTCTAAACTATACTCGCGTTTATACGAACATCTGACGTACGCTTGAGGAAACGTGCATGGTTCGCCTGTCCTGGCGCGTTTACGGCATATAATGGCCTGTCTTTGAGCAGAAGTGGAATGAAAACAATAACAAACCACGCAATGATTCGACCATATCAAGCAACTTGAGGGTGAATAACTGAGAATCATAGTACGGACTTTGCAAGCGGCTAATGGACTGCGCAATAATTTGCCCTTGAGCGCTAATAGAACGAGGACACTCTTAAGTTTAACTGTGAGTCTCTATGTAGTACACTCACCTGCTAAAAAAGAAAGGCAGCTCAGCACACTGCTAACAAAAACAAATGATCTCCTCACGGTTGAACATCTTAGGAGCATCTTTACGGAATAGATTGATCTGAACTCAAACTGCAAAAGTGAAGAGACATAACCTCACATGAATGCGTCTTTGTTTGAATAAGCGAGTTCACCACGCAGTTAGTAAGATTGGTTACGGAAAAAAAAAGCAAAAGGGCACAGAAGGTTTCTCGGGTTGTAAAGAAACGCAAAAAATACATCCTCTACGAGACATAATAAAATTGCATTATAACTTCGACTGAATCCAAAAAGTAAACACTGCGTGGGAGAATACACTAAGGTGTTACAATGACGGTAAGAAATTTCCCATTATTTGTCAGTAAACGCACACACAAAGACCAGGCGTACACGTTTTACGTGAACTTGCGTCGTTGACGGGACATCCAAACTGGTCGTCAACACTTTAGAAGACTCGTGAACTAAAAAAACGCGTGTCGTAGGCAGTTGGATTTCTTTTAAAGTGTGGTGTGTCGTACCATGCACTTCTCGCAGAATGTCATGTTCTAACGGAAACTGACAAAGACACGAAAAAAAACCTTCCATAGAGAGTGAAATCAGAGAACTGTCGCTATTTGCCACCAAGCCAGTTAATTCGCACGCGAGGCATTGAACTTCATCACAGTCTTACCAGTGAGTCCAAAACGCGAATTTTCCATCGAGAGACGAAACCAAATCGATGGTAATTACATTGTAACGCGTCTATGCAAACCGTGTGAGATATTCTTGGCACTTAGTTAAAAAAATGTTGTTCCAATACGCAAGATGTTAATTTTTAATGAGGGTAGAAGATAAGAACACCTGCGTCAGGATACCGACTACAACTGAGAGAGGAGCTGGCTCAAGTCTCTTCGCATTGTCTTCTCTGTCATCATAAACGAAATACTAACAAACATAAGCTGGAACTCGACCAGCTTTCTGCGCAAAGAGCACCTTTGGCCTTAAACTAAACGGCACGTTCAGTGCAACTTTTCTTGCACATTCTTATACAACATTACCGCTAAAATAATTTTTTTGTTCACGGTTGTGCTTTAGACTTCGTGTTTACAGTTAAAAACTTTCCAAAAGCCAAAATGGTCAACTTCAGAATGTCGGAAAACTCCTGGTGGAGATTTCCTTTTGGAGAATTGGTGCAGAACCTAAATTGCTCGCTCTGCCTGTAGCCATTTTTTTTTCCAGATCGAAGCTACTCACCACCGTTACTCTGTGTCATTTCGTAAGATGGGCTTTTTTTTTCGTAATTTCTGTTGGATTGGAAGAACTAGTAGACAAAACCAGAGGAACTGTTTACCTCACGCTAAACTCCCTGTTCTGATGCATGTCAAGTACCGGAAACATCGGGCGAAATATTAAAAAAAAAAAAAAAAAAAAATGAGAAAGTTGGCCTGAATCAGAGGGCCCAGGCTGAGTTCGCCGAGAACCATGCATCACCTGTATCTGTTCTCCGGCGGACAGCAGTGTTACTCCTCATCCATGTCAATGCATTATTTCAGAGAAATATATGAAGCTGTTTGACAATGAACCTGGGGAAACCTCACTTAGAAGTATTATCATGTTTATCCTATGAAATGAGAAGTTCTCAATGTTCGCTTACGTCGAAATAAACATTTGATATCGGTCGCATACTTTGTCTCATTTTGCCAATCTAGAAAAAAATAAGCCAGCTCACAAGAACATCTTGTGGGAAAGCTAATAGAGCTTCTCACGGGAGAAACATTGTTTTATTCTTTGTACTTGCACACCTGAATACAGCAGCCTGATCATGCTAAATTAATTTTACAATCCATGTAGTCCCCATCTGTCCGGCAGTAACAAGACCGACAACTGCTGGAGACAACTTGTGTGTCATGACATCCGTAAATCATTCATGAACGTTGCCAGTGACCCAGGAAACATATCGAATATCACTTTTCATGTGCCCTGGATTAAATGTAACAGCACTGACACTTGTTACAACAACTCGTTGGCATGTTACGGTAAGGAGCCATCGTATTTCCAGACCGAGGGATTTTAGCCTGCGGCTTAACAGGCGGATTTGCGTGAGCTTTGAACAGATGAAAGGCGAAGCCACTCGTCCGTCCAAAGCCTTTCGTAGCATCATCACTCGTTTTCGCGGCTCCGTTTCTTGACACTTCAAAAAGCACACAAAAAAGCCAGCCACGCGAAGTAGAACGATGTTTTCTTACTCTCCTTCGCTGGCATTCGTCAGGAATCCTAAATGTGGTGGTTACTGAAATAATAGTGCATATTACGGGAGGGTTGTTTGTCCAACTTGCCCTTAATCGGCGAAGTCACACCCCGCGCAAGTTGCAAATTTAGCATCTAATTCTCAGCGCTAAACTCAAAAGAAAGGTCTTGTTGAAATTGCAAATAACTGTTACTTAGATCTCAGGAGAGAAAACGTTGGGTAATTTTCTATCTTCTCGTATCTACAGTCAGTTTATTTGTTTGTTTATTGGTTATTATTCAACTATGTTCAACTTCGTGGCGCCAACAACGCACCATTCGTCAGTGACGTTGGGAGGAAATAATTCTCTCAGACGGCTGGCTGATTCCGCCACATAGAGAACATGTTTTCTCCTAACTAGCGGGTATGCGGAATTGGCTTCCCAAGATTGAACCTTATTTTGCGGCGCTATCAAGGCACTAGAAGGATTTTCAAAACAAGCCCTTGGTACCAGCATTTTTGCTCTGCGTGGTAACTCGAGGGATCCATTAAATCCGATCAAAAAAGAGCTTATCCATCTTAAAGCAAGGGAAGAGGTGAGTGCCGAAAAAAAAGCGCTCCAAGTGATATACATCACGACCGAACCGTTCTTGTCATAGAGTCATCAAGCAACTTTGTTTAGCGAAGTTCACGGTTGATCTAAATCCGATGCTTCTCGAATGAGCGTCGTAAACCCAGCAGCGAACATCGTAACGACCAATCAGATAAAAGGAAAATTTCACCAAAGAAAACTAAATGTGATAACATATCAATCGCCCGAACCGCGGGAAAACGTGAGCGACCAAGCCGCGATTGTTTTTAGCTTTGCATCTGATTGGTTAAGATGGTGGCACGAGATTTCTGGACCAATCACAGAGCGTGGTAAAAGAAAACTAACCTAATCCCAGATTACTTCCGACAATCATTTGAAAACCTTGCTAAAGTTGTATCATGTGGTAAAGATGGATGTGTGGCCCTCACATACCAATTAGGATAACATAATAATTCAGTTGTTTGTTTCTCTACGATTATAGAAATATGAACCCAACATCTAGGCGCAAACTGGGCCATCCCGTTAAACTACAGTAGTTTACTAACAACAGTTGAATTGACAATTGCTACTACTATGGGCAAAAAAGAAAAAAAAAAAAGGAATACTAAGTTTCCTGCGTTTGTAATGTGCGCGCATCACCCTTTAAATCCCAAGATCTACGAAGGAATTCTCTCTACTAGCTACTCTATATTTCCTTACGAATAAGTTAAGAGAATTTGGTGTATATCAAGGTATCACATTCCAACCATGAAGTTTCTCTATTTCTCAATCTTAACCTGCTCGCTGAGTAAAATAATGTATTGAAATTGTTTAGAGAAATTGCATCTTAATCACCTCTGTGGGTGCCGTATGGTCGGCCAAGAAATGGTACTGGACGAAACTTGGGAAAGAAAACGTTCATAAACCGACTACGTCTGTTGGACTTACGCCTTTTGTGGTGAATAAATTATCTTTAGTGAAACATAAACGGACTCAAACCTGCGTCAGATGAATTAATCAACGATCGAAACCAAGAAGCAACAGTTTAATCCCACAGAATCACTGATCGTCGAGTCGTTACGTCCCAGTCAACAAAAGTCTGACAACGTCTTTTCATGAGCTGCAAAGAAAGGGAAAAAACGTAAAATTAAATCTCAGTACCTGTGGTGATCGATTTGTTCGTTGCTCGTTAAGAAAGTCTAAAGAACAGCGACAAGCACTCACTATCCCACTTGACGACAAAAAAAAAATACAAAGGAAAACTGGTATTTCTTTAGTCGCATGGATTTGATAATCACCGACTCTAATCTCCTTTTGGCAGATATTTACACTTTGATATGTTCGCCTTTCATAATCTCTGCCCAGAGTTATTCAGGCGACTAATGACAAAATAGTATCACCTTCTGGCATGAATTCTGGCATGAATCAAAATGCAGCTGCATGAATTTCAGCCACTGTGACGGTGTCGCTTGAAAATCCACAGGGAAAAAAACATACAGATTAGAACTGACCTCATGAAGCTCGTGAGGCGACACAAAAAAATCTTCTTATTCACCTACAGTTTCACGAATTCTCAAACTGTTTGCAGAGTATAACCTGTGTTTATTTTTCCTCTGAGGGAGGAGGAGGAGGGTAGACTAAAAACTGACGAGTTTTGTGTTCCATGAAAATTAAACTAGCCCACATGACTCTTTTTTGCGACACGGAAATTTTCTTTTAATGCAGAAATTTAAAAATGGTAGTTTGCAAGGGACGAAGAAGACCAAAGTAGAAAGAAATACTTTGATATGTTCGCCTTTCATAATCTCTGCCCAGTGTTATTCAGGAGAGTAATGACAACATGGTATCACCTTCTGGCATGAATTCTGGCATGAGTCAAAATGCAGCTGTATGAATTTCAGCCACTGTGATGGTGTCGCTTGAAAATTCACAAGAAAAAAACATACAGAACTGTTCAGAACTGAACTGATGAAGCTCGTGAGGCCATCCAAAAAGCGTCATATTCAACTCTAGTTCCACGTAATTCTCAAACTGTTTGCAAAGTGTAATCTGTGTTTATTTTCCTCTGAGGGAGGAGGAGGGTAGACTAAAAACTGACGAGGTTTGTGTTCTATGAAAATTAAACTAGCCCACATGACTCTTTTTTGCAACACGGAAATTTTCGTTGAAAGAAAAAGAAATTTAAAATGGTAGTTTGCAAGGGACGAAGAAGACCAAAGTAGAAAGAAAAACTAAAAAAGACGCGAGAATCTTTGCGGATCAAGAAGATTAATTAATTAAGCGGATGGAAGACGACAAAAAATTCATGCTCTCCGTAACATGCATTTACTGTGACAAGGCACACTTATCACATGCGGAAATGCGTGGAACTACCGTTAGTTAAAAGTTTGTTACGTCAACAGAAATTTTCGGCCATATTCTCCCACTCTAACCATTCATGTTTGGGAGTGAGTTTGTTACTTCTTTGACGATTTTCTATAAACTTTATGGGGCGATTCTTTCAAGATTTTTTTCCATCTGAGGCCTACGACTCATGCACTCGACAAGCTTGCTCTTTCGTGACCTGCTTATGCGGTTCTGTCAACATACTTTGGATATCTGTTTACTCTTATAAACAAGTCTAAATCGTAATCCTGCAAGCTATAACTCCTGATAATGAACAGGTTATCAAGGCCATCTAGCATGCCACACGAAGAGATTCGAGCTAAAGAATCAATCGAAATAGTTTTCACAAAAAAAGTATACTTCAGACCCGGATCAGGGATAAATATGATCAGATTCTGCCGATTTCATCTTCAGCTGCAAAATTTCTCTCACTCTTTAATAACAAAAAACGACACAAAAAAACTTGGTTGGTAAAAGGTTCCCATTTAGCAAAAAGATAATGCTATACTATAAAAAGTTATGACACGAAGAAAGTTATAATTCGCTTTGTCAAGAGCGTGGGACGAAGAGAAAGCAGCTGAATTTCCAACGAGATGATGTTAACATCTTCCATACTTTTGACAATTAGGGTAACGTATCATTTGAGATGACCCCTAAATTGAACTGTGTTGATGGCTGTTCTAAAACGTAAAACGTTGAGATGAAGGTTTAAATTGGCGATTTTGTTAGTTTAGTCAGTTCAAGTCTAATACAAATCTCTGTAACTCGGAATTCCAGTTTATGGTTCATTTTGCAGTGTTTGATGCCGCAGTAGACCACCTATTTTTAACGTCTGAAGCTGTAAATTTGTCATTTCACGGAAAGATCTGCGCTGTACTTTCTGTTGGGCGCTCTAGAAACACATTAAACCCGCTTCATCTGCAACCCCAGATGGAGGTTTTCTAGCATTCATGAAAAGAAAAGTAACGTTGCTTTATATAACTCAATTTCTCTGAACATCCTAAGACAAAACTGGACAATAAAGTCCGCAAGTTCCTTAGCCTACTATCAATCACCTCGAGGTTCCAATAAGTAGAAGCGAACTGTAACAGCAAGATAACAAGACATTGGAAAAACTCCTTGCTAACGAAGCATTCAGTCCCTAGATATGATAAGTTATTCTCCCTACTAGCTGCGATACATGTCCTTGCAAATTAGTAAAGAGAATATGGTGTTATATCAAGACAGAACTTTCTAATGAGTTTGTCTTTTCTCGACCGTCTGATCTTTTTTGAATTACGTATTGATAATGAAAAGAGATGTTGCATGTTCATCATGCCTCGAGGGAAGTACCAATTCTCCTAATCGCTTAATACTCGGACCTAAAACCTTTCGTAAGGTTAAAACAACAATAAACGAGGTGAGTTCCTCAACCCGATAAGCCATGAGCCTGTGAAGAATTTCACTTAACAAAATAAACAATTAACTTCTGTGGTATTAAAAAGTGCACGCAATGCTACTGACTACACCGCGCCCGTTCCTTGACCACAATCTGAATGATCGATGATTCAGTTTGCACACGTGAAGATAAAAATTAGGAAAATGTTCCGGAAGGCCTAAGTGCACCTTGACAAGAAATACAAGGCATTGAAATATAACTTGACCTCGACGTCAGTCCGTCCGCAAATATAAATTACAAGGAAGTTTACATTACAATAGAAATACAGTAAACAGTCTGTAACTATGACCAAAATGTCACGCTTTCATGCTAGCATTAATGTTTTGTGTTTTTTTACATATATTTTGTTACCTTTTATCACAGAATACCTTACATTTTGTCCAAAAAAAAAAAATTAAAAACTACTATGAGAAGACATTACGTTGACGTTTTTGACTTTTCATGGAATACTGGTTGTAACAAAACCATAAACAAAAGAAGAAACGCATTGTTAGCAGCGCGAGAAGAGTAGAAAGGCAGAGTATTAATTGAACTCCGTATTGAAACGTCAGCTGGTCTGACTATGGTGCATTTTAAACCTACCTGTTTAAGAATATGCTGTTACTAAGTCAAAAGATTCACAAGGAGATTTGCCATAAAGGCATCCCTTGGGGGGTAAACCCACAAACCAGTGGACGCAGGTGCATCGCTCAGAGTGTTTCTGTTAGAAGCCGAAGAAAAAAGAGAGAAAAAGAAAACCCTTCTATGTGCAGTCGCTCGACGGAATAAGCACTTCAGTATATGTCATTGTTAAAAGGTCCAGATCTGAGTAAAAAACACCACTTTGTCGCATTGAACTCTCGGGTAACATGAGCACTTAAGATCGCTATTGGTGTACATTGCAATTAGTGGTTTCATAAACGTCTGAAGTTTCAGGCTTAAATGATCGACGGTTGTAACCCATATGTAAAGCACGCACATTGTAGATTTTAAAACACTGACTTGGTTTGTGTCTCAAATTCTATTGTCTCCTTGATGAAATTTTCATGTAGAGAAAGAAGAATGAAAACAGTTCGCAACAACGGCGAGTTTTATCGCGCACACAAGCGAAATGAAACTAAGAGATGTTTGGTGCATCATACCGGATGTAGAATATTAAACCTTCGTTGACTTCCGACAACACAAATTTGGACCAGGCATATCTTTCTTTGTGAGACATAGCAACTACTGAAAGCCCCCTTTTTACTCCTGTCACTAAACGTAAGCCTTCCTCTCTTGTGAAACAAAACTCAAAAGAAATAAAATAACTGGGAGTACCACAAAAACTGGATCGATTGAGTCGAGATACGAGACAGAGTGACATGAATGAACGTAACAGGAACCAAATTCATGGAAAGTTCAGACTCTTTGTCAGCAAAGCTTCACGTTCGTGGAAATGGGTTAACTTAGATGTTCCCTCACGGTCCAACACGCTCATTTTCGATCATACACGTTATCAGCATAAACTAATAATAAATTCTCACGAAACAAAATAAATAGAAAAAAGCTATAAAAATAAATGTTAAATTTGGGCAAATAATGTTTCCAATTACGTTCACGAAGCAACAGTACGTACGTGTGCTGTAAATTGAGTAGCATTCGCGCAGATCAACAGTAGATTACTATAATACGATTACACGTTGAGGTTCAAGTAATCTTCTTTCCAATCGCGCGCACCACGCTACATTACAGTTTAACAAACATGAGCTTCTTTATTGTCAATTTCATTATTTTCTGTTTCTTTCCTAAATTATTTTCTGTTTCTTTTCTAAATGGGTTTCCATTTAACGCACGCTTTTACACCACTGTACTACACAAGCAATAACAATCCATCGGGCACGTGCTGCAAGGGAAACTCCGAATGATACGGCTTCTCTCCCACACTATGTAAACGGCTTCAAAAGAGCGACATTGTCTTTCCATAAATTGTTTATTTTTTGTAAAGTGCACAAAAATGTCGCAATTTAAACATAAATTTATGGCTATATCAAGTGCCTGGAGACAGTCTCAAATTCTCGAGCCTTACGAGCGAAGCGTTCGAAGCCAGCAAGACGAAAGAAATCGTTCACCTGCAACTCACTAGCACCTTTTAAATGAATACACTTAGTGGAACATAGCTTATCTCCAACTATTGCAAAGACCCTTTGTGTGGGTCTAATTCAGTTATATAGCATGTGTGATAATGTACGACCAGCCGCCTTGGTTTATATTTTAAGAAAGAAGTGAAGAGTGCGTAACGAGAAGAGAAGCCGAGTGAAAGTCAACACACAAGCGCACCC